ACCAGCACCAGCACCAACACCAGCAGCAGCAGCTGCTCCTCCTCTCCTACTACTACTACTACTACTGCTGCTACTACTACTACTACTACTATTGCTTCTGCTCCTTCTGCTACTCCTACTACTACTCCTACTACTACTACTACCACCACCACTACTCCTCCTCCTCCCTCCTACTACTACTACTACTACTACTAGGTATTCACCACACAATATGTGCATGTGCATGTCAGCCAAGGCTCCATCCATTCGCTCCGTCATAAACAATTTTGGTCCTGATCCTCCTGCAGCCAGCAGCAAGTTTACTGAACCCATCGGGCACCTCTGAATCGACAAGTGCAGGCTACACGGTGCCACGCAGGATGGACCTGCCTCCCTGTCCGCAGAGAGGACCTGAATGAAGTATCGCCGATGTTGTGCTGGAGGTGGCTTTGGTGGCTACAAGCAGGGTAACTGAATGTGCTTACGAGCTGACATGCTGGGCTACGACATGCTGCGACCACAATCTGTGCAGCTGCGAGACAAGGCTTTGAGGAAGATCCCAGCTTCCTTGCTACATCTGCAGGCAGGTCGTACCTCGCCATGTGCCACGAGTCGGGTAGCTGACCTCGGCATCGCGCCAGAAGCGCCCCTAAGGCCCAAAGTCAAAGACAGACTCCTGTTCTGCTCGGCCACTGGAATTGCGTAGGCATTGGAGATTCACCAGCTCGTGGCCTGGAGGGCAAGCCACATGCGGTAGGACTTTCAGAATTTGCAGGCGGACCACACGTCCCTCGTGCCTGCTTGATTGGTGTAGGGCACCGCATACTTGGAAACCAGGCCCGAGATCAAGTCAGCCCGCTCCACCAGGTCCCGCGAGCAAAGCCTTCAAAGAAACTACAAGTAGCGTGAGCTGGCTCCTTTCTTATGGCCTCTGGCGTGACTGCAGCGGCCAAACATGGTCGTCAAACTACCACAAGCCGGCACAAGTGAAGCAGGTAGATTTCGTGCTCACTGGATTTCTGATTTTCCTTCAGCCTGCGTTGTCAGCTTCATGGGATTGTAAACCCCGGCGACTCTGCCAAGGCAGTAAGCTGCCTTAAGCTGCTGCCACGCGGGAAGGTGATCAGAGAAATGGCCCAAAGCCAATGACAACACGCCATCCCATCCAGGCTACGAGGTCTACCAGACAACAAAAAGGCATGGCAAGTCGTTCTGTGACAGGCTTGACTCCGTTGCTGGGTACGAGTTGTAGAAAATGATGAATGATGAGTGGTGCTGCTGGAATGGTCACACCAAAAGTATCCCATACAGGCATACCGGCCACATGTAGTGATGTCAGGCGGGTGATCAGTAAGCGGGTTAGAGCGTGAGTAGCTGCGGAAAGGCATGAGTTCGAGTAAACGACATGTCAAATCTTATAGCGAGCCCGTACACGGAAGGCACGGGTACCGGTTACCTGGTCGACGCTGCCGTTGCTCGGGGGTGCACGGCCTGGCCAACACCAATCAGCAAGCATCATTTTTTTTATCCTAAAGCTGTCCTCGCTGCCCGACAGGCATCTGCACACAAAAATGCTTGCATACGTGGCTTTCTTGAACATCTCGCGGCGAGGCACCACCCAACAGTGGAGTTCATACAGAGTATTAAAACCCGCCTTCGTTCTAGCTTCACTGGCATCAAGCAATCAAGAACATTGAAAACTCTGAGGACACTGGCGCTGTTGCATAGCCAGGCCAAACAGGTGATGGAGTAGGCGAAGAACCTGCCATGCTTGCTGCCGCAACGCCCGAAGAGTACAGGTTGTGACGTTTCTCTTGATAACCTGGTCAACAATCACTGGCTCCTTTGCAACGTTGGCATTACTCCCCAACTAAGGCCGCGCCTACTCCCAATAGGCTGCTAAGTACTTGCTACTACTATACATAAGGTGCATTCATCCTCATGGCCAGAAACAACTCTTCACTTGTGCGAGCTGAACGCCCTCCAAGGCAAGGCCAAGGCTGCACAAATCTACACGAGGTCGCCGTGGTGGAGTCTGTGGCCTTGGGGTGTTGACCACGTGAAGGAAAGTAAGGGAATAGAAAAGCAGAGATTCCGGCTATTTGGGACTGGCTTTGCTTAATCTTTAAAACATTAAGGGCGCTGTCAGGCAACAGCACCCGAAGCAACAGGAAATGATTGATTCCCTTTACACCCTGCTATGGTCCAACAATTGATGAGAATGCTTGTAGCCGCACCTTGCAAAATCCCGGTCACATGGACTCCCACAAACCAAAAAACACAACTTGTAAGATTGTTGCAAATTTTTACCGACCCTGCAAAGATCATCTTCATAGCCGGACGCCCTTAGTGCCCGTTTTTCAATCTTCCAGGTCCTAGGGACTAGCATCTCCAAAAATGCACCTTTCCGTGAGCTGCTAGTTTCTGGCCCTGAGATGCAAACGCAGAGGATTCATCTCCACCATCCTCCATCTGCGACTGGTCAGGTTTGCTGCCTCAACGTTACAAGTGGGACGAGATAGTACGGTCCGACGAGGAGTATGGTATTCATGCTAGGGGGCCAATTTTGATTTGAGGTGTTCTCAAAATTATGGGCCTCTTTTGGTTATAGATTACTTTGCGGCACCTGGTCATTATTTAGGGGTAATTACCAAAGTGGGACCCTAATTTTGGAAACTGCGCATTTGCTACCCGAGCTGAAGTCCGCACGGGCACAGCATAGTGCCCCACCAGCCCCCAATGGCTCAAACAATTGAAATATAGGGTCATGATTTTTTCTGACCCTCTGAAGGCTTTGAGGGAAAGTCTACGATTTCAAGGTTTCGAAGTTACACCCCACCTGGTGCATCGTCGTCAGATGACAGGCTGTCTCGTGCGCGCTTGACCTTGACACTGGATAGAAAACGCGAGGAACTCACTGTTGCTGAGCATCATGGCCGGGTAATCAACCGCACGGGCGTGCTGCGCTGCTTTTGCGCAAGATTTGCCGCACCAACTAGCCGCTGCATGCAATCCGCATGCACGGTGCCAGCCCGGAGGAAGTCTGGACAACCTGTACAGTACATACTGGCAGCTGCTCTCTCAGCATTAGCCTAAACAGCTTTTCGCTTCGTGCTACGGCCAGGGGCGCTAACAAAAGTGGTCTTGCCGCACAGCACAAGGTTTTGGCTTACTCCTGGTGCAGGAAGTTAATTGCCTGTTGGCCGTGCGCTGCCAGGAACGGCTGCAAAGAATGTGGAAACTCTGTCTGGACAAATGTTACGTGTTGCATACCAACCAGTTGCAGGTGCTTGTGAAAGGTTCTTCCGTACTCTGACGTGGCGGGCATGCACCCCACCAGCAACAGCACTGGCAATGCTTTGTTGGGGCAGTCTTCAGCAGCTTTCCAAGGCAAGTTTTCGTTGAAAAGCACCTCGGAATTGTCGAACTGGTCTCTGGCAATAAACGCTCGGTTCTGGGTCAGAGTCTCCCAACTATGAAGAGCACCGTCCCATATTACAACGCGCGAGAACAAATCCGGCCGACGAAGTCCGAGCAGTGCTGCTCCAAAACCTCCCATGCTGAATCCTTGGACGAATCTTTTTTCTATTGCCAAATGTCTTTCCGCATGCGCCATGACATCCTTTAGGACGGCAGTGAACATCTTCGCTGCCTTGCCATCCGCCCACATTCCAAATTTTGTGCTGTCGTGCGGGGCCACAACGTGGACAGCTTTACCCGCCTGTTCCAGAGTGGCAGCTATCCAGTAAACCTCTTTGCGGACGAAGGCAAAGGGCTCCGCCAAACCGTGCAAATGGTAGAGGATGGAGTTGGCTTGCGACGGAGGAGTGTACAAGCAATACCACGTTCCATCCTCAGCCTGATGCTCCGTCACGGATCCCTGAATTGTCGGCTTGCTACCACACACATACGGCACTAAACCTCTAAGGAGGGCTGTCATCTCGTCAACACATCCCAGCTTGAATGAGCTGCAAAGGCCGGTGCATGAAGCGTGTGCGCGTTTCAAAGGCTGGTTTATGCCATCTCGTGTTCCCCTGAGTTCCTAACGTGCCGGCTCGAGGCAACGAACTCCACCGGAGGCAGCCGGCGTTGAGACTCCAAGGCTTCGCCATCGAGCCTGGATACCAGCTGGTTCCTGGGTGATCCAAAGAGAGAGAGAGAGAGAGAGAGATATATATATATGTATATGTTGCACTCGCATATGCATGGATATGTATGTAATATAGACATATAGAGCTTGAATTCGCCACTTGCGTATGCCACCCTCAAGTAGAGGGCGGTGAGTTGCGGGCCACAAATGCTGAGTCCACAGCAGAATCGACAGCATTGTGATAGCACTCATTCGGTCAGCCTCCGTGAGCTTGAGGCAGCCACCGTAGACACATGCACAGGATGCTGTGGCCTCTTGGGCATCGATGGCCTCGCAAAGCAGCGGCTCCAGGACCTGAGGATCATGTACATCGGATGGCTGACAAACTGATCTGATGGCCTACAACTGTCTGGCAGCAGCAACTTTGGGATTCAGCAATGCTTCACAACTGAAAGCAGCCAGCGCAAGAGGGCTTGAAGTTTTGGGTTTCAGACAGCAGCTCCGTGCATCGTTGCTTCATTCAGGAACAGCTCAGTCCCAATGCTCTGCATCCTTAGAGCAAGGAGTTTGGATTAGGGAAGCTCCACAAGCCTCGCGATGACAAAGTCAGTTTCAACAGTGTGACGTGTGCTCCTGGTGAGGTGTTCAGCGTGCTGCAAGCTACAGAAGTAGCAGCAGCCCGGAGATGACAGATCCGAGCTAAAGCTCAGTGAATTTGCTGCCTGATCTTAGCAGTCACAGGAACGACAAGAAATTGTCGGCACAAGCGCCCTGCAGGAGCTGGTGCGCGCTTCGAATCTGCGACCAATATTTCTCGTCTCCCTGGTGGCGCTGCCACAAACCTCAGGCCGGCGGCAAGCAACACAGGCAGAACCACCCGCTTGGAATGTCGCCCTCCACCACCCGCCGAATGCTTTTGACTTGCCATGCACAAGGTGTCACAGCGCTAGGGTTTGAGCATTCCAGGTCGGAGCCCAAGCGGCCGCAAACGACTGCTTGGGCCAGCAAGTGAAAGTGAAACCACAAATTGTGGCTCGGAAAATAAGCCGGTCTTTGGACACTGTAGAATGCTCACACAAACTCTAGCTCCTTGTCTCCCCACCCTATGCAATGCTTATGCCGGTCAAATGTGGTCTGGATTCCCTCCATGATGCGCTGGTGGAGTTCGTCAATCTGCTCATGTGTCGGGTTGTCCACCTTTGGGACTTCGATAAGCTTGCCAATGGCCATGGTGATCTGGACTCGATAGGGGATGGGCAAGAAGCAACGCCCCCAGTACAGGAAGAAGGAGGCCTGTACCTTTCGCGAGATTGCCTCCAGGATGCCCCAACGGTCATACCAGCACGAGAAGGCTGCAGTGTTGCCGAAGGAGTACACTGGAATCAGGGGTGTTCCCGTCCGCAAAGCCAGCCTTGCCAACCCTTTTCGATCTTTCATGGCAACGAGCTCTCGTTTGGTGTTGGTTCGGAAAATGCCTGCAACTCCGTCGGGCAAGATGCCCACGCACTGGCCACGACTGAGAGCTTTCGTCATATCCTTTCGGTCTGCTGTAACGCATCCGTACGCCATGAGGTAGCGAAGCCCAGGCGTCTTGAAGACTACATTGGCTGCAGCGCCAACGAAGGGGCAACCTAGAAAGTTGTTTAATATTGGAATGCTGAGCATGTTGGCAAAAGGCAGCACGCCATGTGGTGGCCCAACGCCGATCCAGGGCATGCGTTGCCGAGCGATCTCAACATCATCATCGCACCAGAGAATCCGGTATGAGAAGTACCTGAGAAAGAAGGGAACAAGTGAGTGGACATGTATTCAACAGTAAAATTCAGTGTGCAGGCCCTTGTTCAGTCAGCACGTCAGACATGGCATTTCAACTCTGGAGCAAAGGCTTTGGCCTGACCCTTCCATGCATGAATCAAGTCTGAATACTTGTTCATCCACCCCGTAAGCCGGGACTTCATGAGAGTCTGAGAGAACTTTGATCCTGCTCCTGGAAGAGGATGACCGGCGAGAATTGCGGCTAGCAGCACGTAAGCAGCCTTGACGGGATCTCATTGCAGATAACATGCATAGGATCTTATAGCTGCAGCGGACTTGCAACTGTTTCAGGAATAAATTTGGACGCATGCAGAATTCGGGAATGCTTGATAACAAGAAGCCCCTTTCTCTGGTCCAGCCTTGTCTCTCCAACTCCCCAGATACATGGCAGCTGCTCCAAATATGAACATGAAAAGCGGGCCGCCCATACACACCTGCATGAGGCCAGCCAAAGCATTCACAGCATGCAATCGTGGCTAAATTTTGCTAGGCTGCAGGAAGAGAGGAACCGTTGCGTGAACAAGCTACGCTGTCAATCAAGAAGTGCACAAGTATTGGGGAAGCTACTGGGCTGCAAGAGCTGTGTGATGTCCCCATATCCCAGCCCACCAGCATGGCCGCCATCACCATCAGCTCCTCAGCCAAGGTGATGGCCTGGGCAGAAGATGATGAAGGAATGGGTGGCGGCGCCGCAGGAAAACGTAAGCTTTCGTCTAAACAGTCGGACACTGCCCATTGCCGAAACTATCCGAAACCCAGTAAATCAGCGCTACATCTGCTCGAAGAGCTGTTAGATGCCTTGCCGCACTTGCTGCTGGAGTCACGGATTGATTTGTGAGGCACTTCGGCGGGAAGCCCTCTGGACCCGTGCTTTTGACAAATTTCCTGGGCTCAATCAAGCAGAGGCTCAAAGCTCACATAATCATCCCTGCATTGGGTTCAGCCCAGAAAGCTCAAAGCAAGACTTGATCTACTAATAAGTAACAGTAACATGTCTTTAGGCCCTGTTAGGCTCTTAGGTCTCCAGCTCAGTGCTTATGGGGGAGCCCTGTTTGGCTGCTCTGACCAGATCATAGTCGGGAACCCTGTTCGCTTGAAGTTGTCACCATCTGTTCTGATGCTGGTGGAGGGTGGCGACCAGGTGTTTTGTTCCCAAAAATTCAGCTGTCAATTTACTGGTATTCTGAGTTTCTTTTGTCTCCTGCTTGATTGCTACTTGCATAACTGCTCTATGCAAGGGTCTTCACAGCCGCAAGGCGCTCCTCCGTGGGCATGCTGTACATCTCCTCCGGCATTTGTCTTGTCTGTGATTACATCTGAATATAGGGCAACGGAAGCAATGGAGTCTTTTCTGCACTCTTTTGAATCCTTAATCTCCAAACAAACCCCGCAACCTCAGGTTCATGACAGAAGCAGAGGCAAAACCACCATTCAGCTTCCATGCATGTTCGATGGGACCCTTAGTTCAGGAGACATCTGCCTTTTGCCAAATTTGCAACATGTTCGGCTGGCCCTGCAACCTGTGAACAGAAGCGTCCTCCGGCATGTTGAACAGCTGAAGAGCATGGTAGGATTTGGGCCCTGGGCTCAGACATGCTACTACGCAACAAGAACTGTGTCCTAGGATGTGATGAGCTGAGCTTCTACTGCTTGAGGAGGAGTCGTCGCCCATGGCAGCACTCTGAGCGGTACCCCCGAAAACTGGCAGAGCGGACAAGCTTGAGTCGTAAATAGCGCCGGGGTGGTTGTACACATATTTTTGCAGCAAAAATCATGCACTAACACGGGGATGGTCTTGTCTTAGCAACAGGTTGCTGCAAACAAGGGATCCTGTAGATTTCTGCTGCGAAGCATAACTGACACAGCTTGTACAGCATGATGCGCTAGCAAAGGGATGGACATTCTGTTTCACTGTTTCCTAGAACTGGGGCTCGAGCAGTTTGCGCTTTCCATGACGTCGCGTGCTGGCGCCTGCGCTATGTTATGGATCCAGTATGTGCTTCAAGCTGAAGCTGAAGAGCCAGGCTCGAACCGCAGGCACTAAGTACTACGAGCAGGAAAGACAAACAAACTCCTCTTGTGCTGCTCTACTTGCAAACAATTCCAGAGCTCAAGAAAAACTTCCCACGGCCAAAAGCATCTCATGAACACCTCCCCCAAAGATGGGCTGCCGATGATTGCTGGCATGGCCGGAGGCTCCAAGCCTTGCAGAACTGTGTCATGAAAGGGATTACAATACTACATGTCTTAAAGTCTGGGTGGGGAGATGCCCCAGTCTTTTTTCCAACCATGGCCCCGGCAATGAAAGCAGGCGTTGTGCTTCCCATGCAGGATGCCACCGAAAGTGGGTTTAAAGGGGATTGCTTCTGGCTGCTCGAGTATGACCTTGGGACCCAAACTCATCTCCTTCCCTGCCAGGGAGTTGAGGGTTGTGTTCATGTTGACCTGCTAATATCAATAAACCCCGACGCAACTGCAAAATCCGAATCCCACAACCTCAGGACCCAGCGTGATCTTCTTGTCTTCCTGGGGTCTTCCTTGCATCTCAAGCAAAACTCCGAGCAGGCTCCGGAAAGGCATGAGGCAGCTGCCAGCTTCTCCGCAGAGTACATGCGGGGAAGTTGCTGCCGACCTGATTGGAGACAGTCTCGCTTTCAGACAACACAAGCATGCAAGTCTTTAAGCCACATATCCAAGAATGCTGCGTGGTGGCGTGCATGGAGCAGGGCTCATGTCCATATCCTCCATGGTCGGTCCTGCACCTGAAAAGACACTTTCGCCAAAAAATGGTACCCCCTAATTTTAAGAAACCCTAAGCCCTATAATTCCCTATATCACCTCAGTTTCCATTTCATTTTCCATTTTCTTTTCCATTTGATTTTCCATTATAGTAGGTACCCCTAATTTTGGGAAACCCCCATATACCCCAACAAACCCAATACAGCCCAATAAACCCAATGTAACCCCAATATACTATAGTAGTTTCCATTTTCTTTTCCATTATCCCAATAATCTTGCCAAGCGCCTGCAGGAGGAGCTGCGGATGATGCACTGTGCTAAATATACTATAGTAGTTTCCATTTTGTTTTCCATTATCCCTATAGTGGGTTAGTTACTTCAGCGCGTATTGTTCCAGTGCTCAATGCCTGATTTGACATATCTTGCTTGTAGAAGCTACTTCTGAGGATCAGCTTTTGCCTTTTGAGTTTCTATTGCTTGAAAAGCTGGAGGGGAGACGGCACCGAAACATCATGGGCTGGGCAAACTGACCATTTTCCAATCTCGTGAGCGCAGCTTGCTCAATGAGTGGACCTTTTGTTGCTTCGAGGCGCTGGTGCGTTGAAGAGGCATGAACAAATCACCTCGCGCTAAGTTCGATTCCTACATGCATGCTGAAATGCATTTTGCATGCAGCAGTGCGAAGCCATGCAAGCCCTCATGAAGCCACCTAAGTCCCGTCATACCATCCAATGCTGTTGTCCAGGTGGCCTTTTGTGGAGCAATGTGGACCATGTCATCCCTTGCAGCTGCTGCTGCGCGGGGTGATATACCCGATTGCCTTTGTGGCCCATGCCAATTTCGACTAGAATGGAGGTCCATGGCCACCATCACCACTAAGTTGCAGCTCCATGCGATGCCTTCGTGTAGGATTTACCAGTGGAGGCAGCGTTCTAGCTCAATCAATGGCTGCTGATGAGGCATAGCCACTGATCCACTGATCACGCAGCATTTCCAGCAGCCACGCATCTACCTCACCCCACTTGAGGTTTTCTCGTCCGAACCATCCGGTCACGATCGAAACCTAGCACCAGAAAGGGATCGGAAGTTGTTGTCATTCCGCTTGAGCAGTAGTATACTGGTGATACTACAAACTCTGCATGACCTCGATATACTGCAGTACCATACCTCCGAAGATTCAAGGGACCTAGGGCCATGCAGGATTTACAGTACCCACCACTACATGGTAGTTTCCCAAAATGCGGGGACCCCAATATAGATCCCAATATACTATCGCCCTTATTATGGGGATCCCCAAAATAGCACCCCTAAATTTGAGAAGCAAAAACCCTATGTAATCACAGTTTCGATGTCATTTTCCATCTTCTTTTCCATTTGATTCTACACTATTAGGAGGTTATATCCCTAAACCCAATTTTTTGGGGGGGAGGGAAACCCTAAACCCTTTACAGTTGCTTCCAATTCCTTTTCCAGTATCAATAGATAACCACTATATTGTCCCTATATAATCACATGATGTACCCCTAATCTTGGGAAACCCTAAACCCCAGAAAATCCCTTCCCCCTAATATTAAACGACGTCCCCCCACTAATATCAAATGTTCTGGGCCCCGAAAAATTATTTAATATTAGGGGTGGATATTTATTGAAGGAATTAGATAGGGGAGTTTAAAATCCATGGAACATGAATATTTAATTGAATGAAAATGAATTAACTAATTAAATTACATCTTTCTTGAAATCGAAATTCCTTTAAAACCCAATTGAAATCTAATTAAGATACCGTTAAAATCAATTGAAATTTAACTAAAATTCCTTTTACAATCAAGTGAAGTTAAAAAAACAAAAAAAACAAAATCAAATGAAATCTAATTAAAATAAGGTTAAAATCAATTGAAATCTAATTCAAATTCCTTAAATTCAGCTGAAATTTACTTAGAATTCCTTTGAAAATCAATTGAAATCGAATCAAAATACCGTTACAAACAATTGAATTCGCATTAAAATACAGTTAAAATCGATTGAAATCGAATTAAGATACCGTTGAAATCAATTGAAATCGAATCAACAACCATTTTAAAACAAATTGAAAATTAAGCAAAATTCCTTTCACAATCAATTGAAGTTTAATTAAAATTCCTCTTAAAAACCAATTCTAATCTAATTAAACAACCGTTGAAATCAATTGAAATTTAAAAAATCATCTTAACATCAATTGAAATCGAATCAAAAATCATTTTAAAACCAATTGAAAATTAAGCAAAATTCCTTTCACAATCAATTGAAGTTTAATTAAAATTCCTCTTAAAAACCAATTCTAATCTAATTAAACAACCGTTGAAATCAAGTCAAATCTAAAAAATCATCTTAACATCAATTGAAATCGAATCAAAAATCATTTTAAAACCAATTGAGATTTAAGCCAAATTCCTTTTACAATCAGTTGAAGTTTAATCAAAATTGCTATGAAAATCAATTCTAATCTAATTAAAACACCGTTAAAGTCAATTGAAATTTAATGAAGATTCCTTTTAAAATCAATTGAAATTTGAGTAAAATTCCATTTAAAATCAATTGAAATCTTATGAAAATTCCCTTATCAATCAATTGAAATCGAATTTAAAATCCATGTAAAATCAACTGAAATCGAATGAAACTCAATTGAGATTTAGTTAAATACGGCTAAAAGTGCAATAAAATCAATTGAAATCGCTTCAGGTCCTGTATGTAAAATCCTTTGTTAACACCATATGAAAAAACAATCAAAACCTAAGAAATGAAAGGGATCCCTAATTCCTTTGCATTTTTTCTTACGCCCCCTGATGACCTCAGAACCCCCCCTAATTCATTATTAGGTGACCCTTTTAAAAGTAGTCTTCCCCTTTTAAAAGTAGTCTTCTGGATTTTTAGGCCTCTGAATTTATGATTTAATATTAGGGAGGGATCTAATAAATTTTAGGGGGAAGGGATTATATATATCTCCCTATATCCCCTGAAATAATCCTCTGTCGCCCCTATAAATCCCCCAAAAAGGTACCCCTAATCTTGGGTACTGCCCCCCCCAGTAACAGTTGGATAATAATTCTAATATAGTTATATATAGCCCTCAATAAGACCCCTAATATAGACTGTTACTGGGTGGGGGCAGTACCCAACCCTAATCCATTTTTGAGAACCCTACGCCAGGCCTCTGAGATGAGGGGCTTCCCGCCATTGGGGAAAATATCGATGCGGATGAAGTCCGCCCCCAATGCCTCGTACCAGTTGCATTGCAGGCGCTTTGAGGACAACATATGACGACAACTAGCTTATCAGAAGCAACCTTATGTTCACCCTGCGTGTTCTCCTGGTATCCATAATGTCGGCTTTCAGAAGCTTCTGTCGCCGTTCTCTTTTGAAAGCAGGTCCCACAACAAAAAAAGAGGATGTTATCTGTCAAGTACTTACTTATACTGTATAGCATTGCCCAGAGAATTCTCCGTGTAACCCCACACAAGGACTGAACAGATTTTCAGATTTGTGTGCAACAAGTCTTCCTTGCAAAGTTCACGGGTTGTTAGCAAGGTAGCAAACTTGAAACTTCATTTACAGCACTCATCATCCTGCGCCTTGCCACCCGCGAACCTCCAAGCATATTGGGACGCCGCACACTTGAAGGTCAATAGATACATGGACATGCATACTTCTGGCCATATGCATACATACAGATACATACATACATACCTACCTACCTACCTACATGTATGTATTCCTTGTAAAGCATTTAGATTCATATATACACGCATGACATGCGTATGTACATGTACATCATATACATACCTGGTGATATATCATATATAGACACACACACAGATGCCCCTTGAAGCCTGGGCAGCTGCCTCTGCCAAAGACGTCACGGCAACGCGCAGCGCCGACGGCCAAGGCAGAGCCGTTCGAAAGGCGCCCGCAGCCTTCAGGAAGGAAGTGATTATATAGGGCCTTTATAGGGGTTATATAGGGATAATGGAAAATGGAAATTAAATGGAAATTACTACAGGGTTTAGGGATTAGGAACACCTAGTCTTTTGTTACGCCCCTTCACGCGTTTTCTGCGCAAGGCTGAGCGAGGGGAGTCGGTCTTTATATATGTGGCTTGTCGGACCACTGAAGGGTACTTTGGGGATCATACAGGTTCCACATGATTTTCCATGGTCTTGTCCATGTGATTTTCCATTCTTGGGGGTAATATCCTGAGATGAGTTGTTCGGGATTGAATGGTGACCATAAGGGGGGGGGGTCTGAGGTCAATGTTGTCAATGGGTGAACCCTGTAGACCCACACTAGAGGCCTCGATGCGCTTCTTGGCTTTCATCGGGCGGGCAAAAATGGGTGTGCCATCACCTGGAGTTTCAGGTCGACACTTACAATGCCCTTTGGCAAGAGCTGGCTATTTTGCCCTCCGAAATCTCCTTGCACGCCAGACTGAACACATCAATCAACATTGCAGCAAAACTTGCATGATGTTCTGCCCAGCAGCTGGCAAAGTAGTTCAGCCACGTCCCGCCGGCGGCCATGACCCCGAAGAACAGAAGCCGCCCCCAAGCCACGAAACAAAAAGCCTGCACGGATTGTCGCCGGGCAACGCAAAAAAAAAACCGCATGTCAGCGCTTCCTAATGCCAAAGTAGCTGCAAAGGAAAACGTGACAGGAGTCGGAGTTTGTGCCGCTTCAAGTTTGGCCTCATCTGGAAGCAGCCCACTTCGACCATCCCAAGTCACGGCTAGCCTGGGCAGGTTGCTCTTCTGCATGATTAGGCACGCGCATCGCGCTCATGCATGATTAAGCAGGCAGCTTGAGCTGGTCTGACTCAAGCTAGGGCCCACGCTCTTCCACCAGAAGGCCCTGCTGTACCTTGTCGTCTGCCGCAGGTGCGTTGGTGACGCAGCGTACTTCGCCTGACATCGCACAATGCAGCTGTGCTGAAAGTTGTTTGGCAAAGAAGCAGGTAACAAAAGCAGCAGCAGTTGCTGCTGCTACCGTTGCTGCTCATGCTACTGTCACTGCCGCTGCTGCCGCTGCTGCTGCTGCTGGCGGGGGCGGGGGCAGCGCTGGGTCGGTGGTGGCGGGGACAGCAGCCAGGGGCAGGAGCATGATAAGGACGCAAATGAGGCAAGAGTGGCGAAGCTGGCGGCTGTGGTGGCAGCGATAATTGAACGACGAGAGTGGCTGTCGGAAGTTGATGGTTACAATGGTATGCGATGTTCTGTTGCCGGCCAAGGGACATTCCCCAGTGCCAGTGCAATCCTCCCAGCAGCGTGGAGCAGAGGGCAGCTCCTGACTCCAAACAGAAACTGAGCCTAAGTGCCGTTCAGGTGTGCCAAGTAATGAACATCTGAGTCCCTGTGCTACCCATCCTCACGCTTGAAGGCCTCAGCTGCCCATGAGGCAACCTCATCCGCATCCATTTGCCGGCCCGTGAGGAGGTCCCTGCATTGCAATGCAGGCGTGCACTTGCTGCTCTCTGAAGAACTAGCAAAAATGGGCATCCTTCCATCTGACATGAGGAGGACTCCAAGTCCTGAAAGAAGAAAGCTTGTTCCTCTACTGAAGTTCCACAACTTTTCTGACTTGAGCTTGCGCTTTCACAGCCCAAGAGTCCTCCATGATGCTTGTGGGCAGCTTTGACGGCATACTGCCTGAGATTTCCTGACACCCAGCCAGCTGCACACGGAGATGAAGGCTATCCAGTAATCCTAATGTACAGCGCAGCTTGCAAGCCAGTCAGGTCCAATTCCCTAAGTACCTCCACTGCCGACTAGCAGCCTAATTGCTTCCAAGGAAGGTCAGGGGTGCTCGTCGAGAAGATCGGCGACAGAGTTGGCAGCTTCCTGTAATGGTACACTGTAGCGTCTTAGGCTCTGCAGAAGAACTCTCGTGCTCAACGCCAGGACGCATCACAAGGCGTTTGTGACAGGCTGCAATTCGACCAAACGCTTCTTCAAAGCTGTCTTATCCTTAGCCGCGCGACAGGAAGGGCACATCTTCTGAAAATGCTCAGCCTGTTCAGCCGAGGTGAAGCCGAAAGCACACTTTAAATTCATGCTCCATACTTACAATCCTCCGAAAGTCACGCCTGCGAAAACATTCCAATCAAAGCAAAAAAGCTGACAGGTTTTCCGACGCCGTGCTTCCGCGGGCTCTTCCGCAGATGTTTTCGTCGCAGGTGCTTCAGCGGCACTTCCGCGAAAGGGATTTCTAGTCTTTTCGGTGTTATATCCGTCCGAAACCCCAGCGGCAAAAGGGAGAGTTGGGCTGGCCATAGAAGGTTGAAACCAAAGACGGTTACTTGGTAGCGTATTCAAAGGGGGAGTTGGGCTGGTTAGAGAGGCTTCAAGCCAGAGGCGGTCACTTGGGAATTGGTAGCGCGGTAAAGGAGTGGCCAAGTACTCCCAAACCCATCACGTAGCTTCCTCGAAGCTTCTGCAGAGCTTCCGCGAAATCCCCGTCACGTCATTGGTTCTAGGGACACGATCCCGGGAAAGTATCTCCGTGGTGGCCCCCTTATTGCCAAAGCAGAAAACAACTCTAGCGACAAAGTGCGTGGGATTTTCCAGTTGCAGCGTCTCCAGCGCCCTGCCCAGAACTCGTTATAGGGCTTTGCAAGTACAAGGTGGTCTGCATTTTGAGGTCTGCATTTTAGGGTTTAGGGTATTAGGGGCAGGCGCATCCCGGCTGAGTTTCTTCTGAAATTCCTAATCTTCCATCTCCATAAGCTTTTGATCGAGATTCGGAGGATGGAAAAAAGAGCTCCCGCAAGCAAAGTGCTTCCGCGAAAGCTTTCGCGCGCACAGTGGGAACAACTTTTCGGAAATTGCTGGGGGCCGGCTTCCGACATTTTTCCGTATCTAATTAACTTTCCTCAACCGCCTATTTTTTAACTGCCCAATTGAAAGGTGCATACTCTACCTGCGAGAGTCCAAGAGTAGCGCGAGGCCCTCGTCAGTCGAAAACTTGCGTAGGTCAAACAAATCCTTGGCAAGGATCCACGGCAATAGTGCTGGGTAGAATCTCCCAGGTGAAGGATTCTAAGAACCCTTCTTGGGAGCTGCGACTTGGCTCCCCGCGTAAAAGCCAGTGCTAGACGACACTGCTGGTCTCAGGTCAAATTCAGGGGCAACATAGTGGGACCGCTGCCCGCCATCGAAGACCTGCACATGATGCAAAGTTGGATTTAGCCTAAGACACAGGACAGGCCTAACATCGTGGCTTCGCTTGCCTGCCGGGCTTCCTTGCACCATGCTTCCACCAGCGCAGGGGCCCGGTGGAAGACAAGGCTAGTAGCTTCCTGAAGCCGAGCATGCCACTTTTCGCAAATGAGTGCTCGGCACTGGATGCCGTGCCGCCAGGGTCTCTGGTAATTTGCATGTGTCATTCAACAACTGTCTGCCTACCTACATGCATGCAGACAAGAAGTACGTATACAGTTTTTTGCATTTGGTGGACTCCCAACAATCTCAAGAGGCATCCCAACCAAGCTCTCGCCGAGACTCTGCTGGCCATGGTAGCTGCACCGCACCATCCGCAGCATTCTTGGTTGTAATGGGGTGCGGTGTGTCCCAAAACCAAGGTAAGCACAAAACAAACCATAGAGCATGAAGTTGACCCTGGCAGAAGCCTTCCAGGCGTCTGTGAAGGTTGACTGACCCGGATCACAGATTCAAGGAGGAACTGCCATTGAGCGCATGCATGAAGAAAACACGTCATATGCACTAATCTTGATGAAGGGCACGGAATCTGATCAACAAGCGAAATCTCAGCACCTGTCGCTGATCTGAAATTGAGATCTGCGGGGTCAGGATCCGCGTTTGGTGAGCGACAATGCCACCAGGGAGCGCCGAAGTCTGCAGGCTCTTCCGCGCCTGGCTGGTGTGAAGCTCTGACAGCCGATCTTTCTGGAGTGCAACAACTACGCCAGAACAAGTGATTGCAAGCCATATGAAGTCCTTTCTATGCCAAAAGTACAAAACCAACATAAATACGGTGTCCCGAAAGATGCATGAAACTACCTTGCGCGAACCGTCAGTCGCCCTTCAAGACCCTTCTAGGGCTAAAGGATGCCAAAGGTGGATGATGCCAATGTCGTGCTGGCTGGAGGCGGGGTGATCTTAGAGGGCAGTGATCACAATGCAGCCGGGCTCACGCACGGCACGAGGCCTGAGGCCAAAGCGCAGCTCCTGACCCACCCAAAATATATCGTAGTCAAAGCTTTCCTATTGCAGCAGAGAAAGCTAGCACGGGTTTCAGAAGTTCCGAGAAGCATAATATTACACTACTAGAGGGGCACGGTAGAAATCAAAAGGAAGCGAGAAAAAGCTTGCTGAATACCATAGGCCTCTGGCAGCATCCATCGGATGGGCATCAGGAGTGTCTTCGGCCAAAGGCACACAAAGCTCTCGTCGGAGATGACGAACCTGAGTCTTGCCTCCTCTATCTTGCACCAATTTCGCCTAGATTAGACGAGCACTGGAAGCTGTCCCACGAGACTCGGTTTGGAGCCGAGGGGCTCAGAATCGTGCCCGGGCGCCTCACTGAAAAACTTCAGCTGCAGGAACGGACAGTTTGGACATACCTGGTGCATGCAAGCGCATGGAGCCACTGTACTCTACCAACAGCAATCCCAGGAACTGCACGCCTTCCTCAATGCCCCCACATGAACCCATGTTTGACATTAGCACACAGGAGCGAATGAGAAAGTTGGCCAGGACCTGCTTTTAAACCGCTGCCTCCTAATCGCAAGGGCAATAGACAGTACAATCGTGGCCAGCTCACCACCCCGAAGCTGAAGCCCTCAGGCCAGACTTCCAGGAGGCCTGCAAGCTCATGGAGAGGCTGGGCGGATGGTTTCTAAAAGCAGGGCTCAGGGGCTGCAGGGCTGCAGCTTCTTGCTTACAGGCCTTATCTTTATTGGTTGGTTTTCTTATTCTACCAACAAGCACATTTTGGGGGCGTATGGCACCAAGCCGTAATCCTCAGAAGCTATCACACCATTATCGTCATGTCAGGGCTCAGTCCGGGATGTCTTTGAGCTGCTAAAGTACATGCTTTCCATTCCCCAGGAAGGCTTCAGGTAGGACGAAACATGAATCGCTGTTGCTCTGGAAGCTTGCCTGGATCCGGAAGAAGACCCAGCCTTGCAGTCAGTTCATCAGGATTTTTTATTGGCGCGTGTTGCGCCTTCAAATAAATATAATGCCCCGGCTAGAGTCCAACGTCCATACTTGTCATACTTTCATGGCGCATCAATAAATCGCGCGTCAGCTAGTCTAGGCGTTCTGCTCGACTCGTCGATGCCTCACAGTCTGCTGGGATCAGCTGTCACAGCCATGCTCAATGTGCAAACAAAAGCCGGCAATGCAGTCCAAATAATAGGTGCAGTCAGTGACAGGCAGGGAAGCACGCAACAGTGGCTGGGCCCCGGGCAGCAGCACCACGTGACGCCTGCAAGTGCGTACAATCGACACCACTCTCACACCAACAATGGCTGACTAGGTTTCCTTGCCTCTCGCCTGGCTGAACGATTCTTGTACTGGCAAGCTTGCTGCTGTGCTTGCGCCTTCCGGGCGCGGCCGAGCGCCATCTGCGTGCGAAGGCGGCCACTGCCTCTCCAGGTCTCGACTCTTTGGGCAGTAGGCAAATCCAAACAAGGGTAAAGCTCCAACCTCCCTCTGCTCCCAGGGCCTTGCTGGATTGTCATTGCTAGGAAGCCAGGAATCAGGAATAGAGATCTTTCCAGATGTACGCGGTCTTCTCGTCCGACCAAGCGCGCCGCACAAGAGCATCCGGTGTAGGGGATGCATCGCAATTGCCTGCACTGAGAAATGCTTTTCCAAGGCTTCCCTGGGTGTTTCTCTCGGGCTGGTGGGCGCCCTTGGAAGTATGCTTGGTTTGGGCTATGCTTCGAGGGCATGTTTCCAGGTATGTTTCGTGTCCCAGCGATCAGCCAACTGCCCTGCCCCGCGCCCTACCGTGCCTCGAAACTTCTCTCCATGCTGCAATGCATCTGCCATGAGGCACACGCTGCCCACAAAGGCCACAACATCACCTAAGCGTTCACAGAGACTCCTTGTATTATCCGATGCCATGGACGACTTGGAGGGGTCCTATCGCTTTTGGGATGGTTTTTGCGTAGGACAAAAAAGGTATTCGCTTTTGTGGGGCTCAACCAAAACACAGTCATGCTTTCGTCTTAGATTGAAGGGTATCGCTTTTGGGGGGTCCTATCGCTTTTGGGGCTTTTTGCGCGATTCCTACATCTCACGGCATTCCTCCTCTTCGTCCCTAGTACGCGAGTATTGACCATTGCTCAACCTGTTGCTGATGCAACAATTGATGGCACGTCTCTTGCAGCTTGCTGTTGCGCCATGCAATCTTGCCGGGCTCTGGGCGCATGCCTGCAACACGAAGACCGAGCAGGACCTGCCAAAGGTAAGGCTAGATTCCAGAAAACTGCAATGCAATATGTCCTTCTCTTGTAGGTTTTAGAGCCCTTAGCAACACTTTGGGATTGGATGGGGCAAATCTGAAGCCGCACTTGCCTCTTCCAGTAGATGCTGTAGCTCGGTCTTGGAAGGTTTCACTCGCCACCACAGCAGGTCCTAGCAGTCTCTCAAACATCGTCAGGGACGAGCCCGTGTGCAAATTTACAGGGTTGACTTGTTCTTGCATCGAGCTCCTGGCTGCCGAAGGGAAACGGCCTGAGCTGATGCAGGAATTGGATTCCAGCAGATTGTGCTTCAGTCTTGAGACTCAATACGGACGACTTCAGGCTCATTTAGATCAATACTGCAACAATCTGCAACATATTTCCAGATTGTTCCAGATTGTGAGCTGCTAGGCACCTTAGTCTGACTGACCTCTCCCCCAACTGCGCCTGTCATGATCATCATCGTCGCCGCCAAAAACATCTTCTGGGGGCGCAGCGCAAAGTTTGCACCCAAAGCCCTGCCACGCAAGCGATAGGTACGCCTGACACCAGGCCTGAGATCCAGCACAGTTTGCACTACAAGAAGCTGCCCATCAAACGGTTTGCATTTTCGGGCCATGTAGGTTAGGCTGCTTGTGAGACATGCGCATTTGCTACCACACACATTTTTTTGCCGCGCAATGTCCATCTGAGCTGAGCACTCGTCACTCAACCTGAGATGAATACGGCCGTTGCGGGCATAACTTGAGCTGAAGAAGCGGCTGGAGGGCAGAAGCGCATCCGGCAGGTACAGTGCGTCGGCAGGCTTCTGTAAGTCGGAACACGGTCCAGAGCTACCAAGCCATGGCAGCGGTAATGGCACACAAATTGATGGACCAATGGGGTCCCGACATTGATTCTATCTGCAGATCCAACCTTTTGAACACAGGCAGCAAGAGAGCGGATGAGCCTGTTTGTTTTTGCCTGCGCTGAGCCCAGGGCCAGTCACCGTGCACAAATGAATCTGAAGTCGCCTGCAGGGAATCCGGGAATGGGACTCTTGCGAAAGCTCAACGACTGCTTGCCAGCTGCCAGCAGCCTTGCCTTCTCCATTCCCAATTCTACTCTGCTACACCCTGCTCTTTTAGTGCACAGCTCTGTGAAAACTGGGAGGGGCAAGCCCAGCCTCTCCAACACCCGGTGCAGCATGAAGCGTGACCGGAGAGGCAAGGTGCATAAGACGTGGCCTTGTCCAGCAAAACACGCAGGCCAGGCATTCTGCACTCTGCGCGCGTCGTGAGCAAAATCTCAGCGCTCGGCTGCACCAGAGCCTGCCGAAGGTCTGGCCTGTTTCGGATGATTTAACTTGACTTGTTCGACACAGCCAACGGCTAAAGTCTGGGACGAGGCATAAGTCGTTGACCTGATAAAGTGCTTTACCTCAACCATGCCCCCCTTTGACTTCGAGTCTTTGGCATTGGTTAGGCAAGCGCTCCAAGCGCAGCAAAACCGCTTCCGCAATCTGAAACCTGTATACGGCTTAGGCGTGCATTCTTTCGGTCCGTATTCGTGCAAGCTTCTAGAATGAAATTGTCAGCCTGTATGTTGACCCCAAGCTCTGAGGTGCCCGGCGAAGCGAGCCGAAAACTTAGTCGTGGGTGCTGGCGCAGTGCTAGCCGCGCTGAGCCTCAGCAAGTTGCTTGCAGCAGCGACCGAAATCCAATACACGTTAATGGGAGAAATGGCCGAAGGTTCACCCTGGGCCCTTGCTTGACTGACTTCGCTGCTACTGACAACTCGAATGGAGGAATTCGACGTCTTGCGGTCTTGCGGCATCGTCTTATGGAATTGAGCTATGGGAGCTCCGACAGATGCAGCTGTGGACATGTTCTCGCTTTGGGTGCAGGACCTTCACTCAGTGGGTTGCCGAATATTGCCTAAAAAGCTGGCTTTCATTCACGCAAGGCCTGGGGGCGGCACAGGATGCCAGCACAGCCAGGGCACCGTGCAAGCCTACAAGTGAGCAACTGCTAATGAGAAAATGGCGCCTTCAAAAGCTTTGGCCTGATGGGGGGATTGGGGAGAGATTTCTGAACACAGATTTAGCGCTGGAAGCAGAATCACAGTCAACGCGGAATTCGGAATTCGAGGCGGCTCAGGCTGAAGCACAAGACGCCTTTGGGATGGCCCAGGGCCTGGGCTGCAGCCAGTGTTACCAACAAAAAGCAGCACCGGGAAAGTGCCCAAACATCCTGAGTTAGAGGCACTCAGGGCCTGATCTAGAAGATCCAGATCGCAGCAGGCCCCAGCAGTTGCAGCAGCCTGACCGCTGTTAAGGGCACAGCTTGCGCAGCGGCGGAAAGCTTTTGCGAAACAAGCCTCTCCGACCAACGCCTTGGAAGAAGTGCCTCTGCTGACTGCAATGCGCCAGGTGACGAGAAGCAAGGGCTCAGTTAGAACAAAGGCACATTGCTCACAGCAAGCCAAAGCTCCTCTGTCGAGCCCAAAAAACTGAGCCATGCGCAGCTGCAAAGATTCTGCAGCGCATTTTGCCAGTCAATTGTTGAGGAGGCCCTTGGCATACACACTTTGAGCTGCACCGCCTAGGCCCTCCAACCCCCCGGATAAAGAAACAAGGCTAGCCAGGCCATCTCGACACAGCGTCATCGAATCAAGCACTGTCAGGAACACCATTCACAAGGGATAAGACACCCACCCCTCCAAACGCGAAGGCTCCTGTGAGGGGCAATTCGCAGAGCTGAGATCCTTGGATGACACAAGGATCGTTTGGAGGCGCTGGCCCAACCGTGTTTGCATTTGCGTCTGTCCTTCAGGTTGAAGACTGTCTGAGCTCAGGTTCCCAGGCTGCTACGGTTGCTAGCAAACTGCCATTGCTTCTTCACCGCACGTGCAGGCACTTACAACATATTGCAACATCTCGCGTTCAGCTGGGTCAATGGCCGTAACGCACGCAATGCTGCTGAAGTCCACCTGGAAGAACGCGCGCAAATCTTGAGTTCGCTCTCGTGGCACTTTGCTAGCCAAGTCCCAGGCTAGTTGGGCATCGGCTGCTTGACCGTATGGCTGCCGAGACGGCAAAGACTGCAAAGGTCCAAGGAAAATCCGAACCTAGCAGTCCGATGCGGACATGCGGACATTAACAGCATCGGATATCAAACACCTTGAAGCGGTCAACCCTCATCAGGACGCAGGTAGGTCCCTAGGTGGCCAAAACGCAATGCAATAGCACAGTATGTCCTCGCATTGTTAGTTTAAGAGTCGCTTCGCATAGAGCCCGCACTGCTTTTACGGGACTAAGCTTCACGGACGACTCATCTGCAGGCCAGGACCCCTCAAAGGAACAAATGCCTGGTCATGAAGCAGCCAAGCAGCTGCATAGCGCCTCAAAGCAGTCCCTGTTGCCAGGGCTGCCTTCGTTTGTCTTGGGCATAACGACAGTCCGCTAATGCATGATGGTGCTCATCATCACCATCACCATCACCAACAGCAACCAAAGCATTTGTTTTCTTTTTGCACTAAACCGGGGGCAGGTTCGGCTTCACATAAGCGAAAATCCTGGTGACTCAAAAACAAGAAGGATAGTGGGATCGGGATAGTAGCAGTAGCAGAGCTGCAGTATGCGTGCATGTGGTGGTCGTCAAGGTACGTAGTAGTGGCAGCAACGGCAGCGGCAGCAGCAGCAGTCCTCATGGTACTACAACAATATACCACCACAATTACAGGACAACGCCTGCTGCCTCAGCACCGCCAAGTCGAACCAAGCGCTGACCAAAAGCCCATACAGCACCTGGGTCAGGCTTGCCAACTTGCGATTTGTAAGGGGAGGTACCCTTACTTTTTCAGTTCAAGAGGTCTATGACCTGATCTTCTCTTGCAAATTGTTGTTGGCCTGCCCATGCAGACTTGCGTTGAATCTGGATTCGCCCTGGCACCGGACAGCAGCGACGCGAAGTCAAGCTCCTTGAAAGGGACCTGAGGCTTTAACACTTCCCACGTCTCGTCTGGAGCCTGTGTCAAGTTGCCGAATGGGAGGCTAACCCTAACCGGAGTGAATCGCTAGCACGACACAGCCAGAGTCATTGAACAAGTCCAAATTCTGACGGCAATGCTCGGCAGATTATACCAGAAGCTGACGCCCCGACCAGTCCTCTCCACAGCTCTGTCGAGAAGCCAAAACAATCACCTGGCACAGCGGATGCCCAAATCAGCGAGTCAATGCAAGCAAAGCGAAGACAAGCTTGCTCACAGAGCCTCAGTTTTGCACACCTTGCTCTTCCCGCTTCTTGACAAATCTGGGTCTCTTGAGAAGGGTGAGATGCCATGGCCACATCTCATGGGTAGCCTCAATTCAGCCACCTGTTCTCCACCAACTTGCGTGCCTGAGAGATCACCAAGCCCACCAGGAAAACGGCAAAGGTCAAGCCTGAACGCAGCACACACTTCCATTACGCAGGTGTGTGGGCGGGGGTTGGGTTTCGTATAGCACCGCCCAACATAGCCGGTAAGCGACCACCGTAAAAACTTCCTCAAGAAAAGCTGGCAACAGATGGCTGTGGCATTGAGG